CGGTGAAAGCGGAGCTGAGAGGACAATTTATTGCAATAAATGCACACATCCAAAAAGAAGAAAGAACCAAAATTAACAGATTAACACAGCATCTACAACAATTAGAAACAGACCAACAGAGTGAACCCACAGCCACCAAAAGAAAAGAAATAATAAAGATTAGAGCAGAAATAAATGAGATAGAAAAACAAAAAAACTATAGAAACAATCAACAGGACAAGAAGCTGGTTCTTTGAAAGAATGAACAAAATCAACAGACCACTCGCAAACCTAACAAAAGAAAAGAGGAAGAAGACACAAATAACATGCATTAGAAACCACATGGGTGATGTCACAACGGAATCAAAAGGATAATAGGAGAATACTAGCTTCCAGCATCACAGTGACACACAAGCCACTACAGTATGTATAATAAACTATTGATAGATTCTTGGTGGATTTCTAGCATATCAGAATACTTTTTTGCTCCTGCTTTGTTGTTAAATGCTATCAAGTCAGATCTTACTCATAGCAATCCCTTATATAGTTTCTGAGGAGTGGCTGGTGGGCTTGAAGCTCTGACTTGTGGTTAGTAGTCCAGTGTTTATCCTACAGTGCCACACAAGGACTCCATTTACAAATACGTAATTCTTTTCTACTTTTATTTTTGTTAAATGCCGTCTGTCTAGTCAATTCCAACTCATAGCAACCCAGTATAGGGTTTCCAAGGAACAGCTGGTGGATTTAAACTTCCAACGTTTTCAGACCTTTCAATTCAAACTTGACCATGGGATCTAGTGCTTTTCCAAGAACCACTTCATCAGGACTTCTTTCAAATAGCTATTTCCCCTCTGCAGAAAGTTTTCCCACCCCACCCTCCTTCCTTTTTGTTTAATTCCTACTTTCCCTTTAATATTTCAATTCACTTTGAGAGAAAATGGATTATCTCTCTGTCTATATAAAACCAGTGGCAAATGGGGCTATCATAGCATATCAGGGAAGAATATTGATCTAATTTATAGTTAATTTCAATTTATTCACTGTGTAGCTCTAGTCCTTACTATAGTGACTCTTACTGAGTGCAATGGTATTTATTTGTGGATAAAGGAATCTGGTGTTGTGCCCTGGATTAATGAGTTGGACTGCAAGATTGGTTTGCCGCTCCTTCGGAACCTTATACAGGTTCTCTATGAGGTGGAACCGCCTTGATATCACTTAACAACCACAGCAACAATAATAGGAATGATTTTAAGATTCACTCTATAATATTGATAATAGTCTGTAATGGTGCAAATGTGGAAGAAAAGAAACCAGTTATGAGAATACTGATGAATTAGCCCAGAAAAAAAGTGGTCATTGATTAAAAGTGGTCAGATTTTCAGGTATTTTGAAAGTAGAACAGCAGTTAGATTGGATGTGTGATGTGATAAAGAGGAGTCAAATATAACTTCAAGTGTTTTGAGAGGTCTGAGTACCTGAAAGGATAAATCTGTCACCAACTAAATCAGGGAAGACAGTGGATGAGGCTGGTTTGGAAAGATGAAGGTTTTAGTTTTGAATTTAAGTGTGAAATGTTTAGACATATAATAGAGCTGTCAATTAGGCAGTTGGTTATACAAATTTGGTATCTATCTAGAAGAGGCCTGGAAATAAGATAAAAATTTTATTTGTCAGTATGTCTCTGGTATTTAAAGCCTTGAAGCTGGATGAGATCACCAAGAGATTGAGTATATGTATAAAAGCAAACCCACAGTCAAGATCTAGGGTACTTATATATTGAGGTTGGGGAGAAGTGAATCAAAACGGAGACTGAACATAAGCAGTCAAAGATGCAGGAGAAGTGTAGTTTAGAAGTGAAATGAAAAAGTACTTTGAGAAAAGGAGTAGGCAGCTGACTGGTTTCTTTAATAAATCAGTATCATAAAAATACGGAGGTTGTGCTAAATGAAATTGCTCGACAAAAATATAGTCCTAGATGTGATAACTGTTTGAAAAATATATTCTAGGGTCATTTGGGTCATCTGAATTTGTCTTGGGTATTAGAAGAAATTATAATTTACTAAAATTGAAATGTGAAGATTGTTAACTTGAAGATTGCTTCAGAACAGTAGGACCTCGTTTTAGTGAAAAACATACATTATGTATGTATATATGTATTATGTATATACATATATGTTGTTGTTAAGTGCCATTGAATTAGTTCCGACGCATAGCAACCCTGTATAGGGTTCCTGAGGAGTTGTTGGTGAGTTTGAACCACTGATCTTGTGGTTCAAACAAATCTTGAGGTCAATTGCTTGTTCTGTGGTACTACACCAGAATTCCATGTGTATGTATGTATAGAACACACAAAAAGGTCAGAAAGCATATACGCTAAAGCTTTAGCAGTGGTGATCTCTAAATGGCAAGAATGTTAAATTTAAATTTTTATTATTTTACTTTGCTATCTATTCTTAATATTCAGCACTGCTTCTATTATAATGTGTTTTTGTAAAGAAGTAATGAGTGATTTTATCTTCCAATTGGTAAATTAAGATGAGATAACAATTTGTTCACTGCTTCTAGCAATATGGAAGTCATGGTGACAGTATTTGCTTTCTTGTGGAGCAGGGGAAATATAACTTAATTGGAACAATTTGGCAGCTCCAGTAGATGGCAGCAAAATACACTTAAGATTTAATTAAGAATTATTCTTCTTTTGAGACTGTCTTATTTTTCCTATGAAATTAAAATAATTTGTATATTTGTAAATATTAATCCTAAGAGATTTCTAAATTATCTCTTTTTGTTTCATTTAGGAAGATAAAAGGAAGCGAGATCGAGACCGTGTGGAGCATGAGGCAGGAAAAGACCTCCAGTGTCAGGTCCCTGTAAGACTGGACTTGTCTCCTGAGAAACTTCTCACAAGCTCTTTAGCCAAACAAGAAGGTTGGAATAACAGAACTAATGTCCTTGATTGAGGAAGCTGAAAATGTTCTAAGGGTTATAACCCAGGAAAGTGACTGGATTTTAGCTTCTCAGTTAAAGTATTGAAGTTTTTCATTGAAGTTTTCTGTTTTGTTTAAATATATATATATGTTAATATGTATTTCACTGCAGCAGTACTGGTGGCATAGTGGGTTACCTGTTAGGCTGCTAACAGCAAGGTCAACAGTTCCAATCCACTAGCTGCTCCACTAGAAATTCTGCTCCCAACAAAAACTTAAAGCTTTGGAAGCCCTACTAGGATGTCATTGCTATGATAACAGTGTGCTTATTTTTATTTTTTTTATCTCAATGCATAGGAATTAACAGTTAGTTTCAATTTTTTTTTTAAGCTTTTATTGTGAACTGAGTTTACGTGGGAGAACATTGGTTTTGCATTTATCCTACCGTATTTTGTTTCATTGCAATGATTGCAATCCCCTCTATGCATCATCATGTAACAGTATTTGCTTCTATTCCTTCTGCCTTTTTTTTTTTTCTTTTAATGTACACAAAAACACTTAGAGGAGTTTATAATCATTTAAGCAACCAAAGGGCACATTCTGCAAGCCAGCCTCCTGGCTGCCATCACACAGCCTTTCTCTTTCCGAGTCTTGAGTCTTCAGCTGCTCTCTCTCTCCATGTCATCATCTCTGCCTCTTTCTGTGGTGTTGCTGCTTCTCTGGTTAGAGTTCCATATTCTGCTCGTTCTCTTCTCCTTTGATAGTCCAGGGGTCCTCTGTTCCTGGACTGTAAGATTAACTACTCCATCCTTTATGTTACAAAGTTTCTACTTTTATAATTGTGACAATTGCAGTGAGTCATGATAAAAATTATTTACTATTGAATCATAAGAATCTTATCCCCATCTAGAGAAGATGAAAACTATTTTAGCTTCAGTTTTAAGTTGATATTCTCAAACTTCAACATTGCAACAGTAAATGAAATTTCTGTACAAGATGTTTAATGATGGTTATGACAGAAGCCAAATAGAAAGAATGAAAATAAAGTTACAATACTCTCTAGAATCTTCCTTTTAAAAATATCTTTTTCTATTTCTTTGCTCTAGAAATAGAACAGACACCCCTTCAAGAGGCTTTGAACCAGCTGATGAGACAATTGCAAAGGTAAAAAAAATTTTTCCCAACATTTTCATAATATGGAAATTGAAATGGTAAAATATATAGGATTCTCTTTTTGTTGCTACTTAAAGGCATATTTTGTGTTGAAGATCTGGATATACTTGATTTTAAATTGACTGATAAATTATTTTGTTTGGCAATAGAAATATTCCAAGAGGTTGATTTTAAATGTTCTCATTTGGTTTGTTTTAACCAAAAGGCAACTTAAAGGTTGTTACATAGTACTCTTAATGGCAACTTGTGATTTTTAAATGTAATTTCTGATGTTAAACTTTTAACATTGATATTAATGAAATAAACAATACAGATAATTCCAGTTTTGCCAATTTGAGGAGCCTTCAGAAATTTTGAGGGGAAATAGAATTGAAAGATATGTTTTCCACAGACTTTTTGAAGCACCCTCATAGATTGAAGTACTTTGATTATATCTGTGCAGTGCGTATCATGCCTTGAGTATTCAGCAGTTAAGTCTAGGGGAAGAAGCAAAATGGCATAACTTTGATTTTAAATGCAGAACGTGATTCTGAAAACATCATTGTCTAGATTAAATCTGTGCTAAGAAAAGTTTTTAAAGGGAAAAGAATAACTCAGTCTTTATTAAAATATTTTGATATCACCTTTATTCATAATTTGAATTTCTTATTTAAAGACCTTTACAAATATTTACGGAGTATTTATAGTTCTAAGCCATACATGCTTGTAGTTGAACTTTATTTTCAACTGTTGTACTTGTTTGTCAACCCAAGAGAATGTAATAATTTTTTAATATAAGACAGGTGTGGTGCTATGGGTTAATGTGCCAGACTGCAAAGCTGTTTGAACTGCAAGGTTGGTGGTTGAAGCTCACCAGTCACTCTTCAGAAACCCTGTATAGGGTCACTATGAGTCGGATCCGACTCAATGGCACTTAACAACAAAAATGTTATCTAGTGCCACTATACCAGAATCACCACAAGCGGATGGCTTTAACAAACAGAAACGTATTCTCTCATGTGTTAGGTGGTTAGAAGTCCAAATTCAGAGAGCCAGCTCTAGGGGAAGGCTTTCTGTCTCTGTTGCTCTGGAGAAAGTTCCTTGTCTCATTTCAGTATCTGGACTTAGTGTTCCTTGGAGATTTTTATGTATCTTAGAATCATTTTTACTCTGCGTGTAGGAGTTTCTCAGTTCCAGGAACTCAGTCCAAAAGGTGGTCTTTGCTCCCAGCTCTTCAATGTTGGTGGTAGTTAGGTCCCTCTTCTCTGCTTGATTTTCTCTTGTTTTATCTCTTCAGATAAAGAAGATGCAGGAGACACTCCAGGGAAATTCTCCTACATAGGATCAGGGCTGTGATTGAGAAAGTGTTGCATCCTATCTTAATCCTCTTACAGATTGGCCTCTTCATGTCACATCATAGGGGATGATTACATCATTAGGTAACTGCCAAACTACTGAGGATCTAGCCCAGTCATGTAGCACGTATTTTTAGGAAATTCAACAGCCTCTATACATCTCTGTATTCAGCTTTGCAGTTAAAATCAGAAGTTGCTAGCCACTCTTCTCTTTTTGTGTTATGGAATAGTTGAGAAAATTGAATCTCTAGTCTTTTGTTCTTGTTCTTGTTAAGTGCCGTTGAGTTGGTTCCAATCCATAGCGAGCCTGCATAGGGTTTCCAAGGAACAGCTGGTAAGCATGAACTACCAACCTTGTGGTTTAAAGCGACTTTGCAGTTCAGTGCATAAACCTGCAGTGCCTCACTCTAGTCTTTAGACTTGAAAACATTATTCACTGTTTACCTCAGAGGAGTGAATGATTATGCCATTTCAAGTAAAATATATGATTATAAAGCACTTTGTCTGCCTTTTAGTTTTATTTCTTGTAAGTAAAATTGGACTGTCAGTTAATGATGTCACTTTAAGATAAATCTTTCAAAGGTACATACATGGGAAAATCAAAAAGTTCATGGAAAAGAAGAAAGTTGGAAATGAAAATTTTCAACAATCTTATTGAATCTTCCTCATGTTAGTCCAAGGATGTTAGTTAGCATTGCATACAACCCAGAAGTTGGGTTTTTAATAGCTTTAGTGATTGGGTGAGTTTTTTATTTATAAGCCTCAGAAAGGTAAGACTGCTAAATAATATAATTGAACAAACTTAGTAATCACCAGCATTTTTGGTCAAAAACTAGATGAGACTCAACAGCAAAGTAATTGATTTTTTATTGTATAGTGGATAATTCTGTCAGATATTTGCAAAAGAGAACTTCAAGAGATGATTAGTGTTGCTATTCATGGTAATTGTTATGGGCAGAATTATTTTAGATATATCAATTCCAAGCTAGGTAGTTTTGCTTATTCTGGTCATTGGTTAGTCTCATTGCTTAGGCATTTTGCTGGGAAGAATAAAGGTAGATTGAGGCAGCCTTGAGTTTAGATACCATCTCGATTTCTTATTAACTTTATGATCTAACACAGATGGTTTAACTTCTCTGAGCCTCAGTGTCCTCTCTAATTGAGGATACTAGCATCATGATGGCTTTTATGAGGATTATTGTTGTTAAGTGTCATCAAGTCAGCACCAACTCATAGAGACTTTATGCACAACAGAACAAAACACTGCCTGATCCTGAGCCAACCTCACTACTGTTGCCACACTTGAGTCCATTGATGCTGCCACTTGGCCAATACATCTCACAGGGGATCTTCCTCTTTTTCTCTGACCCTCCACCTTACCAAACATGATATCCTTCTCCAGTGACTGGTCCCTCCTGACAATATGTCCAAAGTATGAGAGATGAAGTTTGGCCATCCTAGTCTCCAGGGAGCTCTCTGGCTGCACGTCTTCCAAAACGGATCTTTTGGTTCTTTTGGCAGCCCATGGCACTTCAGTATTCTCCTCCAGCACCATAACTCAAAGTCATCAATGCTTCTGCAGTCTTCCTTATTCACTGTTAAGCTTTCAGATTCATATGAGGTTATTGAAAATACTAAAGCTTGGGTCAGGCGCACCTTAGTCCTCAAGCTGACATCTCTGCTCTTCAACATTTTAAAAAAGTCTTGTGCAGCAGATTTGCCTAATGCAATACGTCCTTTGATTTCTTGACTGATGCTTCCGTGAATGTTGATAGTTAATCCAAGAAGAATGAAGTTCTTGATAACTTCAATCTTTTCTCCATTGATAAGAATGTTGTTTATTGGTCCAGTGGTGAGGATTTTTGTTTTCTTTACATTGAGATATAATCCAAACCGAAAGCTGTTCTGTTTGATTTTCATTACTAAATATTTTAAATCCTCTTCACTTTCAGCCAGCAAGGTTGTATCATCTACATATCGCAGGTTGTTACGAGTCTTCCTCCAATCCTGATGCCACATTTTTCTTGTTATAACCCAGCTTCTTGGATTATTTGCTCAGCATACAGGTTGAATAAGTAAAATACAACCCTGTCGCACACCTTTCTTACTGTTAAACCGTTCAGTGCGCTCATGTTCTGTTCGAACAACTGCCTCTTGGTTCATGCACAGATTCTTCATGAGCACAATTAAGTGTTCCGGAACACTTGTACTTCACAGTGTTGTCCATAGCTTGTCAAAATCTACACAATTGCAAGCCTTCGTGTAGTAAATAAAGCACAGGTAAACATCTTTCTGATATTCTGTGCTTTCAGCCAAGATCCATCTGAGGTCACCAGTGATATCTCTTGTTCCATGTCCTCTTCTGAATCTAGCTTGAACCCCTGAAAGTTCTCTGTCAATGTATGCTTGTAGTCGTTTCTGTATTACCTTTAGTAAAACTTTATTCGCATGGGATATCAAAGAGATTGTCCGATGATTTCTGCATTCCATTGGGTCTCCTCTTTTGGAATGGCCACAAATATGGCTCTCTTCTAATCAGTCGGCCAGATAGTTGTCTTCCACATTTCTTGGCAGAGATGAGTGAGTGCCTCCAATGCCACCTCACTTTCTTGAAAGATTTCAATTTTGATTCCATCAACTTCTGGTGCCTTGTTCTTTGCCAGTTCCTTCAGTGCACCTTGGACTTCTTCTTTCAGTATCAATGACTCTTGATCATATGCTACCTCTTGAAACGGTTGAGCATTAACCATTTCCTTTTGGTACAGTGACTGTCTGTATTCCTTCCATCTTCCCCTTATGTTTTCTGCATCATTCAATAATTTGCCCAGAGAATCTTTCAATAACGAAAGTCAAAGCTTGAATTTTTTCTTCAGTTCCCCCAGCTTGAGAAATGCTGAGCATGTTCTTCCTTTTTGGTTTACTGGTTCCAGATCTTTGCACATTTTGTTGTAATATTTGGCTTTAACTTCTCGAGCTAATCTTTGAAATGTTCTTTTCAGCTCTTGGACCACCTCATTTCTTGCATTTACTTTAGCATCTCAACGCTGGAGAGCAAGTTTCAGTGTCTCTTCTGACATCCATTTTGACCCTTTTTTCTTGTCTTCTTAATGAGTTCTTACTTTTTTCATGTATGATGTTCTTGATGTCATCCCACAACTCTTCTGATCTTCAGTCTTCAGTGTTTAATGTATCAAATCTGTTCTTCAGGTGATCTCTAAATTCAGGTGGGATATATTCAGGGTCATATTTTGGCTCTCATGGACTTGTTTTCATTTTTTTCAGCTTCAGTTTGAATTTGCATAGGAGTAATTGATGGTCTCTTCCACAGTCTGCACCTGGCCTTGTTTTGACTGATGATACGGAACTTTTCCACCCTTTCTCTGTGCACAAATGTAATCAGTTTGATTTCTGTGTATTCCATCTGGTGAGGTCCATGTCTCTTATGCTGTCTAAAGAAGGTATTTGAAATGAACAAATCATTGGTTTTGCAGAATTCTATTATGCTTTCTCCAGCATTATTTCTATCACCAAGGCCAGGATTAGATATAAAATATGTTTACTACTGGGATTGGGATATGCTAAAGATATTTTTGAAGTTGCTGCTGTTTCATGAGAAAAGCACTCTACAGAAGGGTAATTTCTTAACACGATAAAGGG